TTTTTTACTGTCTACAAATACGCCAAAAAAGAGGAAAGAAAATTAAGTCTTGCACTCAGTTATGTTATTTGATCTACTGTTGTGACGAAACATGTTAATAAGAAAAGTAAAAGAATCATAGAGGGCCACAGTCGGTAGGGACAGGCACGCTGTCTGCTTCCCTCTATACTATTGATCGCGTCCCTAGAGGCGTGTCACCCGCTTCAGGAATTAACATTTTTTAGGGTGTTGTCTGTCAGGATTCACAACCGGAGAAAAAAACAATTCACTGGCCATGGGACAACATACGAAAAAGTCATTTCGATACTTAACGTGACGGCAAGCTACCAAGGGTCTAATGTGGGTTATGGCTAGAAACGAAAGTTATAAGGACTAACGGTTGAATTTGTTTTTATTTGTTCTCCTAAAAGCTAGCATTTGTGGCCACATTCAACCACACAAGCAATAGTTCCATGGGGTTTTCAACTTCTGATGAGGACCAGTGAGAAGGCATAAATAAACTGCCACAAAGATCGCATTAAAACTAGTAGTAAACTTGCCGAGTTTGAGAGTGGTATGTCAGAGACGCGCAAAAGATCAGGAGATTTTAAAGACGTTTACTTGGACTTGTTCCCCACCAAACAAACCACGCGACGTAGGGGAGATATCAAAAAAAAAAAAAAAAGAAAAGAAGAAAAAATGAGAGAAAGAAAAAAATCGCGACTTAGAGGATACATATCTTCGTTAGTTTTTACACCAGTTTCCATCAGGATTGATTTTTCTTAGCTGTTTCATATCAAAAATTGTAAAAACCATGGGACTGTGGGGACAAGCGCAGAGTTAATGCGAGAAGGAAAAACCTCCGTATTTTTCCCGCCCTCTGACATTCTAACTTCGCACTACACTCCACTATATGAACGACTGAAACAGGTTAATACCAGCATTGTTTCAGTTATGTCTTCTATTAATGAACTCGAATGGTCGATTACTTGCTCTGGCAAGATGCCGTTATCACCTTTTTTTTCGTATATGCGACTTAGGGAGCCGAGAAGTGAAGTCACTCTTAGTCTCGAGACTATGGGTTACATCCCACAATATGACCATGCACTCAAGTAAAACCCCATCAGAAGCACTTTTGCAGGATACTAGATGTTCCTTGGCAAATTTCCTTGAACTTTATCTCTGTCAACAATCCTAGGAATGAAATTAGGCTTATTTGCATCAGCAGATGATCTTGTTGCGACACGAACTGAATTTTTTCCCAGCGTAAAAGCAACCTTCAATGGAATTGTCTATTTCTCCTTTTTTTAAAGTCCTTTGAATTTTAACAACAACGTTCTTTAGCTTGTTATGTCGCTATTCGGTATTCCCAGGACTTGAAGCGTATTTCGGCAGTTGTACTTTATTCTAATGAGGTCTGCTGTAAACAATTTTTCCATTCTTTATAACAAACTTGATGATCTCATCATGGCCACCGAGTTGATAGACAAGGTGCTCCCACCTGAAAAGAAAAATAGCAGATTCAAGACACGAACACACATGAATTCCTGGCAACACAAAGATGGACAAGTTTGGGTCCGAATAAGTGATTGACCCCCCCCCCCAACCCCCCACCCCCCACCTCTGGGGGACTAGCCCCATATACCTTGGTGCATCAATAACTAGCATGTCTGCCACTTTTCCAGGTTCCAGTGAGCCGTGGCTGTGTGCCCTTCCCAGGGACGCTGCGGCATTAATTGTTGCAGCTACCAGACTCTCCTCCATTGTCATGCGCAGATTAACACAGGCAAGGTGCATTGTTAAAGGCTGGAAGAGACAAAAATATCCCTTGGATGTAAAACTACACAGAACGCACTTGAGTTTCTCACATGCATTTGCCTACATTTTTAATGAAATCACTCAGGCTTAGACAATGTAATTTGGGTGTGATGATTTTTCCGTGACTATACTGGTTACTGGCTAGGAGACCAGAAATGACTCAGGTTTGATTTTCATTGATTATGAAGATTATCATGACTAATTGTCCTTACCATTGAAAGACAGAATGCATTGGGGTTAAAATCAGTACCAAGAGCAACTGGAACACCTGTGTGAAGTTGAAAATTGTCAGTCAATCAGGGTTGTCCGAAGGTTTTGGAGTAGACGGCTAAGTTGTCAAAGTAAGCGGCCAGTCCAGGGATATTTAACCCATTCGCTCCTAGAGATTTTGCCGAAAAACGCGTTTTGAAGCTAGTCGAGTGGTTTTCTGGTCACTGTCGTGCTATAAAGAGCTAAAACTTACCACAAACTGGTTTACAGGTCGAACACTTCGCGGTCTTCCGATCCAGATGCAAAATATCAGCTTGCGAAGTTCGGGCATGCGCAGAAAGCAAAATTTCGACATAGTTTTTGGGTTTAAAAGTGACACAGCAGTCTTGACTTTTACTTTTCGCTTTCTCTCCTCCCTTCTTTTTTTGCTTTTCTTGCCTCATTTTTTTTTTCTCTTGCTGGGCATTTAGTAGGCTTGATTTTGGTGGGAAGAGTTTTTAGGAAAGCTTTTAGGATCTTAGGATTAGGCGAAAGGAAAGGTAGGTGGGTAATGGGACAAGATTTTCATGGAGATTTTCAGGTCAATGTCACGTGGTTTTTTGCTTGTTTCTCCGGTGTCCTTGACTGAATTGTGCTCATTCTGGTATGGTTTGAAAGATCTCTTCACTCTGCACAAGTTAGTGAAGAAAGTTGTCCTTGACCGTTAAAACTGATGACGTCACAATGGGTAGAAAGGACCTGGATCCGCACGGGCGGTTACGGGCGGTTCAGGGGCGAATGGGTTAATTTAAAAAATGCCATCTGTAAAGAAATGCCAAGCAGAGTAGCCGGCCGATACTAACTAAGTAGGTGGAGATTTTCCCCAGCAGCCGGCTACTTTGACAACCCTGGCCAATGCATTAATAAATTATCCTGGGATTTTAAAGTCGACATCTAAAGTGTTAAATAAATAAATAATAAATAATTATTATTATTATCGTCATTATCAATATAAAATAAAATATCTCACTTTATTGTTTCTTTGATTCTAAATTGCCAGCATCATACATACAAAACGTCTAGGTATCCTAAGCATGCTGAAAATGCAATCAAAGATCGCCAAATACTTTAATATTTATTTCTCAACAATTTACCTGCATTAATCATTTTCCTAGCAGGAGGACATTTCAGTCGTAAAATATACGCAGTGGTAGGAAGAAGTACAGCGACAACAGAAGCAGCAGCCATGGCTTGTATTCCCTTATCACTCACTTCTTCAAGGTGGCTTATTGCTCTGGCACCAACCTCTGCACCTAACTTAAGACAATTTTCAAAATATAATTTAGCAAAAACAAACGCAAAACTGTTTATAATTCAGGCATTGCTACATTCAAACACCCACTGGTATATTAACAGCTCAGCTTTGAAAGACAACAAGGAATACAATCAGATGTCATGTATTTAATCCAGACAGACAGAGAGATAGTGTCAACATTCTATCAAATCTTTGTGGAAAGCTGTGTGGTGTGTTGCTGATAATACTATCAGCCCTGCATGGTGTTGATTCATAGAATACATGTTCAGGGCTCATAATAAAAAAAATCTAGTTGCTTTTTGGAGACCAGGTACAAAAATTTAGTAGCAAGTTCACAAACTTTAGTCACAAAAGTAACCAAACTTAATAAATAAATAAATAACTTGACTTTCAAATGATTGACAAACAGTTGCACCACTTTTAAACTATGTATCAAAACTCCACCATAACATTAATGAGGCTGAACTCTAAGTTTACCTCGGCAGCTTTCATTGGATGCAATTCATCGCCATGAAAATTGATGGCCAACCCAGCAGATTTCCCTGCTTCAAGGATCTTTCTCGTGTGTTCTACACCAAATACACCCTTCTCACAGAACACATCAATATTATCAACAGTTAATTCATTGTTTTTCATTAGTTCTTGAAGCTTTGGAATTTGACAGTTGATGACATTGTTTGTAGCTTCTTCAGGAGAACTTCCTCTATAGAAAAGAGCAATAATAAAATAACAATATTTCACCAATCTGCCATTATTTACAAAACCTTAGCTAAAACAAATCGAAAGCGTTTTTAAAAAGCTGTCAAAGGCTGCGTATACTGTCATGTAACTAGAAAGTTAGTATCCTTGTGAAATGTTAAGCCACTGTGGTAAAAAAAGAGCTCAGTGTTTATAAATATCTTTTTTCCAAGGTCAACACAATAAAATTGAACTTTTATGACGTACATGTGTAAAGTAACTATAATTAAATATTCCTAATATGATTAAGGCTTTTCTTTCCAGGCACCAATTTTATAATTGCATCTTCCAAAAAGAGAAACAAAAACAAAAAAATGTAGACAGGGCATAAAAATAATGGTCAGCTAAAATGTCTGGTACCTAGTACATACTTTGGCACAGAATGTGCACCACAGAATGTACTGGAAATTTCAATTGGAAGCTCTTTTTTGGCTCTCTCAATCACTCTCAGCATCTTCATTTCAGACTCTACTTCCAAGCCATATCCACTCTTAGCTTCTACTAATGTTGTCCCTGATCGCAGCATTCTAAGCAGGCGTTTCCTGAGGGATGTGTAAAGTTCCTGTTCAGAAGCTTTTCGTACACGTTCCACAGTGAATCCTATTCCTCCACCTGCCTTGTGAATGTCCATGTAAGTTGCCCCTGCAAGCTGCAGAATTTTGCAGCAAAGAAGAAACAAGTTTGTCAAGTGCAGTTCATGAGTCATAAAGTAAGCTTTCAGTGCCTTCAGTGAGGTTTCATAGTTAGTATAACAATTTAACTTCTTGTAAAGCAAGTTACATTACCTTCATGGCAAATTCATGGACTCTATCGCCCTCCCACACGGGATGTGTATGGCCATCGACCAGACCTGGATTGTTTTAAAAGCATTTGTTAATTTGCATTTGTTAGTAAAAACGGGAGAAAACATACTAAAGTACCATTTGTCACTGACCAGTTTTAACATTAGGTATGATAGAGTAGGTAAAATACAAAAGAGTGTGTGAAAATTATCACCTAGAGGCTGGTTTTCACTAGTGACGGAGTTGGAGTCTAAATCATAAGCAGAGTCGTAAGAGCACTTATAACCTTGTNTGCCTTCAGTGAGGTTTCATAGTTAGTATAACAATTTAACTTCTTGTAAAGCAAGTTACATTACCTTCATGGCAAATTCATGGACTCTATCGCCCTCCCACACGGGATGTGTATGGCCATCGACCAGACCTGGATTGTTTTAAAAGCATTTGTTAATTTGCATTTGTTAGTAAAAACGGGAGAAAACATACTAAAGTACCATTTGTCACTGACCAGTTTTAACATTAGGTATGATAGAGTAGGTAAAATACAAAAGAGTGTGTGAAAATTATCACCTAGAGGCTGGTTTTCACTAGTGACGGAGTTGGAGTCTAAATCATAAGCAGAGTCGTAAGAGCACTTATAACCTTGTGAAAAATAAGTGCGATGGAGTCGGAAGAATCAGAATGTTTCCAATTTCTTCTTACTCTGCTTATGACTCCGTTGTTAACGATCTAGTGAAAACCAGATTGTCGGAGTCAGAAGCATGAGGGGCAGAAGGATTAACCAATAACAATGCATGTTGCCGCATTTTGTGCCTGGTTTGGTTGTTCTGCTTCTGCTTGCAACTCTGAAAACCTAGTTTTCATTTGATCGTAAACGATAAAGCCAAAGTGACAAGACAAAGTGGAATCAGAACGTTGTTTTCACTAGATTGTTAACTCCTATGCTTTTGATAATGACTCTGACTCCATCGCTCTACTGTAATTGGCCACAGCTGTTGTGGAGTCCCTGCCAACATTCTTTCTGTTTGTTTGTTTGTTTGTTTTTTGGTGAAGCTAATAAAAAATAAAACCAGCATTAAGGGGAAGGCGTCAAGTGCAGAGATGAGACAAAATACATGTAAGGGTCTCTCCCCCCATTAACCCCGGTGTTAATCCTTCCCTGCAGAGGGGAGGGGGGCGGAGGGTTTTCCTCATTTAATATTTAGGGGGATCCTCTTCATTATTTGTAAATAATCTAACCAACGCACCAACATACTCACCCGGTAGCACACACATCCCAGAAGCATCTATTTCTTCTACAAAAGTACAGTTTTCATACTTCTGATCAATGATTCGATCCAAAGCAATGCATTCAATTTTTCCCGCCTTAACGACAATAGACACGCCTCCATCCTCTCCTCCTTCGACGATGGCCAATTTTTTCATCGAATCTCCTGTCAAAATTCGCTCTTTGTTGTTGCAAACCAAGACTACTTGTCTTGCGTGTCGAATTCGAAGGCTGTACATTGTTAAAGGATAAAACTGGAGTTTCTTCAAGAACACGCGAAGATTTATTTCACTACACGTCGAAAAATAAATAACAGTCAGCTGTTTCCTTCATAAAAGCATGCGTGTTATTTTCAGCTGTGTTTCTAAGCAACAGTAACCTCGTTATCATTCTAAACAAAATGGCTTCTTTCTAAACTGTAGAAGTTGTATCAGAAGGAATTTGCTTCGTTGTAAAACCGTTTAGTATTCGATCCAATACATTTATTTTGCAAGTTTCAACAAGGAGAAATATAGCTTAACTTCAAATAATTTTTAATCTCACTTAATCTGCTCTTTGGAACGCGTTGATGTCATCGGAAATTTTGGCTTGACTGAAGATTTTGAAGACTTGATACGATCTGTTTCTTATACCTAACGATGTCCATTCAATCACCTTCACAAGGTTCTAATAAGCCACCACGCTCAGGTATGTACTAAAAAATTGACTTTGAGCTCTTTCGATTGGATTTACCAGCCTTGTGTATTTATATAAAAAATATATTAAATTTAATCCTTGGCATACAAGTTTTCACTGCTGCTTTTATGTTTTGCTGTACAGGAGGGCAATCTGCCTCACGCCAGTCAGAAAAAGCTGCATTTCAGTCGGTAAAGTCAAGCTCTCCTGGAAATCAATCCGCTTTGTCAGGTAAACTGGACTAATTTTAGTTAAACAGACTTAGTATATACCTATCTAGCTATGTAATATTTAAAGCACATGGCATTGAAAACGGTAATATTCTCCCAGTGCCAAACAGTGCTTTGAAACAGGAGGAGGGGTTGTACTAAACCCACATACCTATATATAGAAGTATATATCTAGAATAGAACATCGTTATTTAAGATGTTCCCAAGGATATGATGCTTCAAGCACAGACACAAAAAAACACAGGATGGACAAGACTGTACATTGTATCCAAGGCTGTGCTCTACAGCAGTGCATTGTGGCCCCTGGTGGCTAACTTTTGCTCTCGGGCAACTAGAAAATCTTAGCTTTTTCACAGAAATCATATGCTGGGCACCCTGGATAATTTTTTCACATGTTGAAGCACTGGGTTCCCTTCAATTTTTCAGCACAGCCTTGGTATCTTGAGATCAGGGCACAGGTAGGCAGGGCAGATACAGATACTTTGCAATATTTGAGTTCATGCAGCATTAGGAATAATTGTTATTTTTACAGTCAAAGCTTTCTCAACAGACACTCAGGTTTGCAGACAGTTTTAGACAGCTTGAAAAAAAAACTAATAATAAACTATCCAATTTCAAAGACCATTCCCATAAACTGAGCTAGTTGCAGACACCTTTTACGGTCTCGAAGGATGTCCACTTAAAGGAGCTTTGACTGTATTATTGTTGTTGTCTTTTTCCCAGTAAGTTGATAAGAACTTGTGGTTTAGCATCATTATTTCAAAATAGTATTAAGGGCATTATTGATTCTAGCCTGATTGAAGTGACTGTCTGTTGTTCTTGTTCCCAGTGATAGAGTCTGTGGTGAATCCAAACCGCAATCCTTTTACCATCCCAAAAGACAATGATGTATTCATGTTGAGGGACAGGGAAAGACAGAAAAAGAAACAGGTTTGATTATTTACTTCCTTATTTTTGTACTCTGTACAGTTGCAGTGTTTAATGTTGAGCTAGAATATGTGCAGTTGGATAAAGAGTGCATTATTTTTTGTTTTCTCAAAACTTTTGTGGAAAGTTAGCAAAAATTTAGTCCAGGTAGCAATGCTAGTGTACATTAATATGGCCTTAGTTGGAAATATAGTTATCAGTGATTTTCTGTTTTGATACTGTAGGAAAGGATTAATCAGCGTAAGTTAAAAGTGCATGAAAAAACTACCTATGCATCACGTGTCAACACAAAAACAGCAGCAATGAGAAAAATAGCAGATGATAGTGAAGATGAATTTGTTGAGGAAGAGAAGAAAAAGGAAAAAGATGGAGTCATTGCTGTAAAAGATGATCCACAGTTTACTCTGGCAATCACAAGAGGTAGGCAATAAAAATAGAATAATAGAATGCAGAAATATACATGTAATACAAGTCATATATATATAACTTCATACTTAGTTTGCTATAGCTAACATAATTCAGACTTTTCAGTAGTTTTGTGGAGTAGGTCTGCAATACAGCTTTTCGGTTGCTTATCGTTTCTTCTGTTTTAGATCGCCACGTAGAAAAAGAAAATTTAGCAGACTTTATTTCCAAGAAAAGAGAAATGTTTCTGGTTCAGGTACGTTTTTGTTCGAAAATCTTGTGAAAAAGTCAGTGAAGGATAAATAGAGAATAATACATGGTCCCGCGGAGATATGGAATTTATCTTCGAGTGTTCACATCGATATCGAACGAGTGAGCGCAGCGACTGAGTGAGATATTGAATGTGAACACGAGAAGATAAATTCCATATCTCCAAGCGTCCATGTATTATTCTGTTTATTATATAAACATACTGATGACGGCGTTTTTGATGATTTTCCGAAGATTTCCGAAGATTTTTCAAATTGTCCCGAAGACCAGACGAATGTTCCCGAACATTTTCCGAGAATTTCCGAAAATTTCCGAAGATTTCCGAAGATTGCCGAGCACTTTCGAGGAAGACCCAAAGATGTTTCGATGATACACCAACGAATTTAAGTACAATTTAAGAGACAAACCTGATGTCAGTGAAATTATTGATATCTTCACATGTAAAAATATCGTATTTTTACGTGTGTTCAGATACCACATTTCTCGGTGGTAGAAATCCTTGTAAAACACTGCAGTTTATATAATAAAATAATGTAATCAACAAAGCAATCCTTGGATTAATTTATGTCTCATTTTTTCACTTCAGTATTCGTTAGGGGTGAAACGTGATGAAATGAGAAAACTGGAAGAAATTGCACAGGTACGAAACTGCATAGGAGGAATTATGACGCAGGGTGGCTGAGTGGTTAGAACGCTGAATTTGTAATCTTAAGGCTGTGAGTGCGATAGTCTCGCCCTGACTGCTTGCTAGATTTGTTCTCGGTAGTCCTGAGTTCAAATCCTCAGCCACGCTTGTAAATAGCCAACTGGTTCAACTCCTATAAGCTACCAGTTGGGATTCTTAACCATGTTATGTTCCATTTGAATAATTGGCTCATTATCCCTGAAAAGCCTCATAAGGGGAGATTTTAATTAAGTATTAATTATTATTATTAATTATTATATGATCATTTAAGTACTAGGTTTCAGCTTGTTCATTCTCTAATTTGAGTAAAAGCAATAAAGTGTTATAGTCTTTCACTCTGTTAGACTTGCATTTATTTATATGATTACTGTTATTACATGTACCTTAGACTTAGACTTTACCTTGGACTTAGGTAGCCAGTGTACAGACGTCCCCCATCCCTCAGAAAAAAATCGGGAGGGAGGGGGGAGGTCTGTACACAGGCTAAAACTTAGGATGAAAACTGCATAATGATTGATTACACAGATAAAATGTAAAAGAACTCAACGGTTTTCATATTCTGTCCCTCATTTAGGCAGAGGAAAAGAAACTTGAGCTTGCAGAGCAGTACCTTGAAGAAGATGCTGCAATGTTTGATGAATTCTTAAAAGAAAATGACAAGAATTCTGTGGAGGCTATTAAAATGTAATTGTCAGCAAATTATAGTTCTTAACCTGAGATCAAAACCAGAGAACACTGTCTATCTTTTTCTTTCACTTTTTCATGCTGTTTTTTATAATTTTTGATCTTCTTGATTTCCATAGTGCTGAAGCTGAAACTAAACTGAAACTTGAAAAAGTAGCTGAGATAAAGAAAATCAATGCACAAATGATGGCAATTAAAAGGTGAACTGCTGCATGCAATAAGCATTTATTTTTTGTTTAATATATTTTCAGTATACATTATGTACAGCAGTGCAGCCAACTGTGTCTTTAAGAGACATCTCCATTGAATAAAATGAACTTTAAAGTTTACACTTGTAATCCTAAAAATCATGTACAGGTGTCCAGAGTTGATTGATACAATACAATACAATGTTCTTTATTTTGAGAGGGTAGATACATGATTAACCCAGTAAATAGTTTTCTAACACATGGCCCCTGCTGTTTGGCAGTCATCTGTTATGACCTTGAACAAAGTAGCTAGATTCCTCTCTAAAGGACCACCGCGGTCAAACGTCTTAATCGTTATTTTTGTTTTTTATTGCTGGGATTTCATTTACCAGTTAGAGAAAAATGGGCAAAGATGTATAAATCAGTTAGTCAACATAACTATCTTTCCATTTTTCTCAAAATTTGGACTTTTTTCGCTGAGAACGCTTCGCGCTAAAAGAGAATCAAGGTGGAAAATGGCGCCGATAATAACGTCAGCATCGGTTTTCAATCACCTAGAACTTTTTTAGTAAACTTTTAAAAAGTTTAGTAAACTAACAGGATGTTGGTAATACCCTAAACTTTCAATAGTGAAAGTAGCAACCTTAACTTTGAAGTATTTCGCTTAACTTTTGCAAATTTCACTCGTTTGACCGCTGTGAACTCTAAAGGTCAATAAGTTCAAGACTAGGCTCCCTATTGGGGCAAAAAACTGAATAATGGGATGCAAAGAATTGGTGAGCAAAGCAAGCCAGGGGACTGGGGAGGGGGAAAGAGCTTGTTAGGATGTTTGTTAAATCACATCTGATCATGCGGACTGCAAGAGAGCGTACTATTCAATTGTTACTAGTTAGTAAAAAAATAAATCGAATTCTTAATATAAAGGGGCTTTTCTGACATTATAATCGATGATTGATGGGATGGGTCAATCCAGTTACTTCTGATGATTGATTTTGACATCTCAGCCGTTTAACTCTACTTGCTGTGAGGTATTTCAATGTTTAACCCCTAAATTCCTGCTCATTTTTTTTAGTGAAATCTCTAAGAATGAAGACACGCTAAAGGAATACATGTTATACAAACAGTTTCTGGACTCCCTCACGCCCCAGGTAATGCCGCTAAAACCTTGATTTTCATTTTGTTAGTCGGCCAGGTCCTCATTATTTTGTGTTCTGTTCTCACCAACAGGAATGGAAAGATGAAAAAAGAAAAGTTAAAGAAGAGAAAAAGGTAAATGCTCATTTTCTAATAACTCATTCGCTCTTGGGAATTTTGTATATCGTCAGCCAAAACTGCCCAAAACGCGTCTTATAGGTCGAGCACTCTTTGGTCGACCTTCTTTGAGCTTCTGAAGTTCGGGAATGCTTCACTCTTCTTGCGCTTTTCTTGCCACATTTTTTCTCTTGTGTTGGGTCTTTGAGTTCTCTGTTTAATTTCGGTGGGAAACGTTTTTGGGAAAGCTTTAAGGATCTTATGATATGGAAGGAAGTACAGGTAGGTAGTCACCAGTGGAACAATTTTCTTTGGAATTATCTGGTCAACTTTACTTGTTGATTTTTTCCGCCCCCCTCGACTGAATCGCGCTTATTCCAGCATGGTTTTAAAGATTTTTTTTTTGAAGACAAAGTTGTCCTTGACCGTGAGAACTGATGACTTCGTGGTGAGTACAAGGAACGTGGATCAGCATGGGCATACGGTTACTTCAGGGTCGAGTGGGTTACTATGCTACTACTTCCAACTATTTTGTATGATAAAACGTAACTCTGGATATTCATTTGTCCTTCTTTCTCAGAAAGCAAAGCAAAAGGAGAGAGGTTCAGTGAACAAAAAGAAAAGTGAGTCTGTTTTTCCGAAATATCTACACACCTATTTTGATTTCCAACCCCACATGTCATCAAACTTAACCTTCTAACCTCTTGTAACTCTACCTCTCTCCCAAACTATTCTAGTAACCATACACAGTTCTGGCAGAACATCTAGTCGTACAAGCCACAAGGACAGCAGAACAAGCTCTGTAAGTAGACTTGATCAGATAGGTTATGTTTCCTACCTTTTAGCTAATTTAAATTTGTGAACCTAGCTTATGCGGGGCTTTTCTTCCTTGCCAAAAGTCTGGTAGCTACTCTCATTGGATTTTCCTAGTTTTTCTTAGTTTTGGAAACTAGCCCTTTAAACTGCGAAAATTCGCTTTTGATCTTGAAAAAGGAGCATGTGGGTACTTAAAGTGGCGGTTTTAGTGAGTACATGTAATTTCCACCCGTCTCGCGCCATCAGTCACGCGCGTGGCCATTTGCGTGTCTCGCGTTTTGCTTGACGGACTACAGAAAAAAGAGAGACTGCTCGTAGTCTACCAGTTCTATATGATGGTGGAAGTAAAAAAACAAACAAATAAAAAACAAAAACAACAATTTTTGACAATTATAATTTACCCTCAGAAGCTATCTGCTCATCTTAATACAGTGGAGGCCATTACTAAAAGGAATGTGTAGTGGACAAGTAGCGAAGTTGGATATCTCTAGTTCCACAAGCGAGACAAACCGGATTAGGGTTATCGCACTTCTAATGCATGAACTTGGAGTTACATGTGGCTTGACGCAGGGTTAACTCTTTAGTAACAAAATAGATGAGTACTCATTTCAACTGTGTTACATAATCGTACACTGACAAATTGTGAGGTATAGTTGCACATAAAGATTTTACAAACAAATGTAATGTTTTGACACACAAATGCATGAAAAAGTCTATTTTCATTAATTCTGTCCGCAGAAACTCGCAGGCAGTCCTCAAGGAAAACAGTAAGTGTTCATTATTTTGTGTTTTATCGCAAGAAATTACACGAGCCGGTCGCTTAGGTCCCGTTTAGTTCTAGAGAGCTATCTTTCGTTGTCGTGGTTGTTGCTGTATTGTTTTGCATTATACAAAAGAGCTGGGACCAGCATTTTTCATCGTAACTAACTTGCTTCAATTTCGTTAAATCTCAAGTCAAAGGAGCGATGCTGAAGATAGTTCAGCTTCCTTGTACGACACGGATGAAGAAGAGAGCGATAATGTAAGCTCAGTTCTTATTATATTATGATAATTATTAGTACTACATTATCAGTTTCACGGCATTTTTTGTAAATTTCTTTATGCAGAGCCCTAAGCGATACCTGAATGGGTAATAATAGTGACTTTATGTCCCAAACACCCTGAGTGAGATCAAACTCTGCAATTTACACCGCTAAGCAAGATGACGAGCATCTTCGTCGTCATCCCCGGTCCTAGTAACCCTCCGTGGATTTGTCGTGTAACTTTTTTCTCGATGTAACTTTAGGATTCATTTTGTCTATTTCTCACAGGAGCCCGAGTTATTTTTCGCTGACCCCCAGCAACTTCTCGACATATTTGCTGAACTCGAAGAACAGAATTTGTCTCTTATCCAAAACAGCCAGGAAACCGAAGAAGCACTCGAGGAACTGCGGCAGACAATTAAGCAAACGCAAGATAGAATGTAAGAACTCCATCACTGTCAATTTGGTTTTTATTGTTTTTTAGACCCTGTCCACACTAGTGCGTTTTCAAAAATGTTGTCATCGAAAACGCATCGATCGATTCGTGTCCACTCAGACCAACGTTTTGATGCGTTTTCGAATGTCCACACTGAAACGTTTAAAAATGATAGAATTGCACATTGTAAGTTCAACTCTGTGTACTTGCTTCAAACACATACGCCTGCGATATATTCGGTGCTCGTTTTCATTTTCATTCGTTTTCGAACGTCCGTACTGATCGGTTATGTTTTTGTTCTGGCTTTGATCCACTTTCAAGAGCGTTTTCAAATCCATGCAGTTTTGATGAAAACGCTGAGCGTATTGGTGGGGACGGAAGGCCTAAACGCATTAGTGCATTAGTGTGAACGGGCTGTTTTGAGAACATTATAACACGAGTTTGCGCCAGAAAAGAATATAAAATAATTGTTATAAAGGACAGACACGTCTTGTCTCAAAATGGAAGTTACAAAGTATATTATTTCCACAGGAACCGTGAAACTGAAATTCTCAAAGGCCAGATTGACTTCTTAAATGATGCCATTAACAGAGAAGAGGAAAGAGCGAAAGAACTGGAAATGAAATCAAAGTAAGCTAATCATGATCAGTACGATTATTTTGTGCAGAGAACCGAGTTTATAAATTATGAACATTTTTATTTCTGTTCTTGTTTTTCTTCAGTTTGTCAACCAGATAAAAATATTTCTTTATTGCTTTTTGTTTTCATGTAGAATGTTTTCATATGGCGAATTTAAAGCTGAAGATCAGGTAAACAAGCTACTGTCGTATGTCCCCATTTTAAAGCACTAATTTCGAAAGAACAAGTGATGCATGGCGCTGCGCCAATTGGGAGTGCTAAGTTTCTTGTAAAACTTGTAAATTGAAAGCTTTGATTTGCAATCTTTGACAGGCGTTGCTCAATTTCTGAAAGTCTTTGAAACTGAAACTATTCAAACGCGAGAGAGATGTCCCCCAAAAATTCACCAAAATGTCACCCATTTTTATAAGGGAAGACTGTCTTGTTCACCCTCTTGAACTTTGCCTAATTTTGATTTCTTTTGCTGCTCTGCAGGAAAAAATGCTACAGACGCTCAACAAAAAAGTGGAAGAAGTTTATCGAAATTGTATTGGTGATAACGAAGCAAATATAAGGTGATTAAAACAGATTATTCGATGAAACAAATTAGCGTGCACGTTTTACGGTGTAAAGTTGTCGTATGACAACCCGAAATTTTGTCTAAAGGGTGGATTAATTTTCCGTTAATTTTATCGCGACTATTCCAACTCACTGACCTTGTTCAATGTAGGCGAACTCCCGTCTGTTGTTGTTCTATGTTGTCCTCCATAAAACGTAAAATTAGGCATCTTCTCGTCGTAGCCGTAGTCGGCAAATAAATGTTGAAAAAAGTGTGCTGCACGTGCATACAGTTGTTGTTTTTGCCTATCAAGGCCCCGAGGGACACCATTAATGAATAAATTCATAAGGCAAAATTTTGCTTGTTACATCTTTAGCAACGCTTACGTCTCGGCTGTTCTTCTTTTCTTTTCTTTCTTTCTCTTTTTTTAGAAGGTAGGTGGGTCCTCACTGTCTGTCTGTCCTCTTGGTTCGTTAGTTTGTTGGTTAACAACGTGGCATTGAGTTTGCGGTTCAAAAGGATTCGATAAAACACCTGTATCCAAGCGGATAATAATACGGGTCCGTTACGGACGGGGGAGACGTACCCAGGTTGCCAGTAGCCTGTACACAGACGTTGTTTTTTTCCTTTTCGTTTCTCCCTACCCCTTGCGCTGGCGGTCAATAAATCCCCCGCGGTTTATATTTTTTATCACGCGCGCTCAACGGACTTTGAAGAAAAAATAGAGAATCTGTGAACAGGATAGGGTGCCAGAGACTCTTCACGCGCAGTCTCCGGCCTCGGTTTCGGTAAAGTTTTGTGACCCGAAAAGCGCGATCTGCCAAGTAAAGACAAGCCTGCTTAACGTCCATTGTTCTTCAATGACTGTGTCTGGAAAATTTTATCTACACCTCTGAAACAGTGATTTGTGATAGCAAGTACGATCACGACACCAAGCAAAACCAGGTTGATCGTTGAGTGCTCTAGATATTTAAACAACTTTTTTGGAGACAAAAAGAGTAGAATATGTGAAATGTTATAGCGGCTCAAAGTATTAATGTTTATTGATTGTATTCGCAGCACTCTACAAATGCTAACAAACATTGAGAATCGCCTGGAGGAACTTTTTGAACAGATAGAAGTCATGCCCCCAGACAGAGTAGAGATGGCTGAAAAGGTTAGATGAGAAAAATTACAAAATTCAGTAAGCAACAACAAGCTGCTTTCAAATCGAAACATCACTCAGTGAAACGTTATGAAATCCTGCATGGTAATAATTTTGCCCCACACCCTGTTTTAGTTCCGATGAACGCGTAATTTTGCGGTGATATCTAGACACTGGCTTTGTCTCTTATAATTTCTGTAACCAAGTATCTACGTCCATTTCATTGATTAAATTGAGTAGTTTACAATGCTGCAGTTTGTATGATCTTTCCGTTTAGTGAGGCAACGTCGTAAAATACCTAAGACTAAGACTTAGTTACATGATCAAGTGAATAGTGATCGACCCGTAACGTGATATTTTCCAGGCAAAAGAGAAAGAACGACGCATGCGCCTTCGAGAGGAGAAGATGGAGCAACAAAGACTGCACCAAGAGGATAGAGTCAGAAGGGCTCTTGAACGAGCTCAGGCTGAACCCAAGAAAAAGGTTTGTGATGAAGTCCTATTTTCTTTGTTTGGTAGCCTGCGACACCTTCTACAAAGTTAGAAAAGGAAAAAGAGCCCTTCACCTTACCTAAGCAATTTTGCACTGCTGACCAAGTTACGTTTGGAGCAGAGGTTTGCTATGTTACCCTTAAGAATACCCCATTTTACAAAACTGTGAAGACAATAAGTCGCTAACTCAAGGAAACAACGACGGAGAAGCATACGCCATGGACACAAATTAAAATTATCTTTGCTACGAAACGGTTGTAAAAATGAAGTGAAAAGCATCTGCAAGTCTGAATGTTATTCTGGGGTAACTGTTGGCTCCAATATCCGCACATACGAGTTACTTAAAACTTAAGTAAAAACTTGAAAAAAGGGTTATTTTTAACAAGGAAAAGTAGATCAAGATTCATTGCCTTTTTTTAGAAAGTTGAAGCCCCTCAGTTTTTAGCCATGCGTTCACTTATGGTCATAGATTATGTGAAATAGTTTTAAGTTTTGTTTTTGGCTCTCTTCTTGCAGACTGGAAAACCCCTTATGTTCCGTTCTGAGCCTCCACAAAGACGAAGAAAACAACAAGATTCAGATAAGAAACAAGATAAAGAAGAGGAAGAACTCAAATACTTCTTTACGTGAATAACTATGACTATGTAGTCTTTGTACAACTCTTCAATACTCCAGTTCACTTTTCAATATCTTAAAGCATAGTTAGCATATATACACACTGGAAAAATGTTGACCTTGAGTTTAAATACAACTTGTTTATAGTGTAATTATCAATAAAAGTTTGATATTGAAGAAATTTTTGTGTAATTGCCTTGTATTAGTGGTATATCGTTTTAAATACTTGGCAATACGTGAAGGGTTGATAAAACGTTTTGTAAGTAAGAGATTTGTCCTAAATTTTCGGCGGCCTTGGGGAATTCTTGTTAAATAAAAAATAAAATAAATGATTGACCATCGTCGCAAGTCACTGAGTGATCTGCGAGACGTTTTGGGATGCCAGACACGTTGTGGTTGCATTGCATCAAGGGAAGCCTGGGCAACATGTGTCCCAACTGACTATTTTGGAATCCCCCATAATACACCCAGTTTGGCAATGAAATTTTCCATGAGTTATTCTTTTCAAATGCAATCGGGAATATGAAACAATGGTTTTTGTTTTTTAGCTGGAAATTTTTTCCCAACAGCATGCACTCTACTTGGTTACTTCAAGGTCACATGACACATGACGTGCACTCTACTTTGGTTACTTCAAGGTCACATGACAGCTAACAATGAAACTGTTTCCTGCCAAAATCTTTGAGCAGGCAACATTGCAAAATCTATGACGTCAGTGGGTAACAGTGCTTTGTTACCCGCAAATGTTGACCGACAACCGCGGTTGTTTGAAGACTGGTCCCTCTGGAAACAGTTAATTTCGCTTCCCTCGAATCTCAATGTTTCCATTGGCATTCTTGGGAAACAAAATTAACTGTTTCCCTCAGGACCAGTCATAATTGTAAAAGTGCCAAATGTTGGGGGACAAATGGTAATGGCGATGGCATGTGGCGTTAATTACCCATACACTCACTCAAATAATTTTGAAATGAATAGGTTTTTTCCTTACTTATCAGATTTGAAGTTAACCAGCCATCACACGTATGTTATGCATTACCTAACCCAACACTACAAGAAATGCTTTTAGTCAAGGCTTGATTGATTGGTTGCTGAACTAAAAAAACAAACAAACAAGCAAAACAACCGGTTATTCACAAAAGTGTCCAAGGTTGCTTACGTACAATTCAAATGGGGTTTTCACGATGCTAGTCATTCCTAGAGTTGTTTGCTTACATGAGTGGTCACAAGTGGAGCATTGACTATATAAAAACAAAATACAAATTTTAAAGTTTTAAAGAATGTTTAGTATAAAAGCAATACCTTTATTTCAAAACTTTCTTCCAGCTGTCTTACAAAGCGTTGACTTACACTACAGCATGCTATAGTAGAAAAAGAGACTATTTTTTTCTATTTCGTGAGCCCTTGAATACAATCCAAGGAGTTGCGAAGAGAGCGACTAAAAATTAATGCTCTTTTGTTACAAGTAATATACATTACATGACACTTGATGAAATGGAAAGAGCCTAATTCTCAGCCAGAGAAACAAAAAATTTTCGTACAACAATAAATATAATACAGAGAAAAAATATTTATGACAGTCCAATAATATTATTCTCTCATCTCGCCATCTTCCTCTTCCTCATCCACTCCACGCACATACAGAACATTGTTACACCTAGTAAAAATAACACCCAAAATAACCTCATTCTATCATTAATTATTATTAAGTACAAGAAAAGGTTGACATTCAAATACATTAAGTCTGATATTTCCTATCCTTACAATTAGCCACTTTGGAAAAGAGAGAGAGACTGGGACTAGTTAACTTTTGCAAAGACTTCTGGGATTCTTACTGGGTACAGGGTGAAAGCAAATAGCCAAAAGCTGGCCGGCACAACCCCAGTAATGATCCCACAATCGTTTTCCACTCCAGTTTTGTTCATGTTTCTAACAAGGTTTTGTTTTGACCATGTGTTTGAGAAACCTGAGAAATTATACATTTTACAGGCCATGTACTACCACCTTAATGCAGCCACTGTTTCAGTTTCTATCTACAGCAGTCTTTTATTTTATCTACATGGAACTGTAACTTAAAGACTGTAACAATTAAAACTCACCTGATAAGAACTTCCCCAAGGTTACCTGCTAAGCTCCCATCAATATACTCCTCTGTGTTGGCAAGCTGCGAGAAAAGCAATGCTATCTGATCATTGTTGCCAAACAGAAACCCTACGTTACTACGTACTTAACAGATTCTCACACTACCTATCCTTTTTTCAGAAAAATTATCAGTACCAGGGGCTCAAAAAATAAGCAGAAGTGCGTTTATCTTTATTGGCAAATCAGCAATGGCTTTTTTAACAAACTAATTACAGCAAGTACTCAAATCCTGGTATACAGATTTGGGCCCAGGACAAGGATTTTGGCACTGTTTCACAGAGGGACTAAACCCAGAGTTTAGTCTCGTCTGTGATGCCGGCTACCCTTCATATGCCATACCTGAAGGTTCATGTATCCGTCCACAGACACAAGATATCCTTTGTATTCATGTCCCCATTTAAGCTTTGCTATCACGGCTTTTCCTGTTAGCCCGTTAAGGAAGGGTTTTGGATTTAAGGGCATAGTCTAGAGAATAAACCAGTCATAAATTAATATCATGACTATAACAAAATTGTCAAATCTGATTGGCTATCAACTGTCCTGATTTCAGCACTAATAGGACAGTGTGATAGGACAGTACATGTTATGCCTGTAATTGGACAGTACGCACCACCGCACATGTGTGTTTAAAAGGCTTTTTTCACTACTAGCAAAAAACTCTTGGAATTTCTTGTGTTTTAATATTAGAAAAAAGCCTAAAATATAACAAATTTTGTGATACTTGTGATTAAACAAATTGGACTCCCGCTAAGCAATCGTCCCATTTTGTTAATCACTCGCATGATTACAGACCAAATTGGACTCCGCTCAGTCCTATTACCATTATTAATTTTATAGCCTGAAAAACCAGTGGACATTTCGTGATTCCACCACTGGATTACCCGCAAAATGACGTCTGATAAATGAGCTCACAAATTCTATACTAATGACATGCACTACCCAGATCTGGGTACTGCTTCTGATTGGTTGTGCCATGTGGGAAATTTGCTTCAGCCAACAGAAGCATTAACCAGATCTGGGCAGTGAGGCATCATCAGTATGGATTTTCTGCACCTGTTTTTCAGACGGAGAAACCAGTAATGGTGTCGCAAAATGTCTGCTGTTTCCTCAGGCTACACTATTTACAGCAGTTTGTATTTAGTATGTAGTAACATGTAGACAATATTCTTGTTCCAAGTTGCAGGATAGCAGTGCATGTTCAGATCTCATTGAGTTCTGCCATGCTCTGGTAAACACAGTGATCTGTATAGACCTCCACTGCATGGTTTTCAATTGTCTTCAAGTTTGTTGGTGAAAGCCTTTAATACAGTCGCTGCAGCTTAGTATAGTAGTACATCCCATTAGAAGCAAAAGGTGGATTCATTTGCAGTATACGCGTATAACTGTTGCATTTGGCCCCTGGAACAATGAAAAATTCCAGCTGGCAAATGCGACAGCTGCTCGCGCGAATGCTGCAAATGAATCCACAAAATTAAGTTTATGTCTTGAAATGGATCGGGTTTTGAGAATTCGAGGATGGATTTTTTAATTTTTGTCACCTCAGCCACGAATTGATAGGAAATATCAAACGCTCAAAAAGGTTGAGGGCTTGAAGATCTTTCGTACTTATCTAAAATTGTCAGAATGAATTAGTGTATTGAATATGACATACACCAACCGATCAAAGAGTAGTTTGATCGTACACCCCAATTCTCAACAAACTGAACCCCACAAACCATGAAATTCTGTAGTAGCCTTTTCAGATAATAACTACTCACCGCCATGATGAAAAAGTTAAGTAATTCTTCACTTTAAACAACGCTTACTCTCACATCAAAAACCACGCTATTCGCTTGTCACGTTTAGAAACGTTTTATAACTGGTCAGCGGGAGTCAGCGGCTAAAAAGTGAAGGACTATGGGAAGGAACTTGAACCAGGCTCTTTGGGTTGAACTGGAGCCAAATATGGCGGAGTTACATCAATAGGTTAAATCTCATGGCTTCACACTGCAGTATCTTTTACTTTAAACACTTTAATACCCTAAACAATTCGATAAGACTTTCTTGTTGCAGGTTCTGCGGATGAGCGGTTTTTAATCGTTAAACCCCGTAATTGTGTCTGAGATATTAACCCAGTTATGCTCCGATGACTCCATACAAATCCTTCTAAATTTGGCTTGGTTCATAAGATTAGGATTTTTGAATTGTCAAGTCCCCGAAGAGTCAGCTTATTTGTTCCCCCTGCTGGATTTGAAGAAGCTAGTGTCACAGGACTAATCACCCCGATTTTAAAGATAAACGGAAAGTAAATAAGTTCGATAAATATCCGATCAAGTAGGCTTTCAAAGTTCTAGAACATCAGTAAGTGTTTACCTTGAAAAATGAAACATGATAAATTATCAATTTACTCACGACTTTAAAACGCTTTTCAAGCAGAAACATAAATTTTAACAGTGCTGAGTAAACGAGAGTGGCTAATTATTTCTGTAGGAAATCCTTACTTGGTTATCGGACTTTGGTAAGTTAAGCTTTGTTTAGCCGAGCAATTGCTGGTAAGTCGTGATTTTTAATATTTCGGTTTCTTGTTGATGAAAAATACCGAGAAATAATATCGAGCGGAAATTATTTTTTTCGCACGTGTTCTCTGATGATGTATTTCACATACAGTGTTTGATAATGTACTACAAACAGATTCTGTCCAGATTTCTCGATTTTTTATCAATTTTACTCTATCACACGCCGCCCAACAAACTATCGCTAGCATTTAGCATTTGGCACTTTCCTAGTTTGCTCTTGCATTTTTGATCACCGTCTCATGAAAGTGCTTTTAATTATTTCTGGCGGGAAATATGTACCGCGCGTGTTTCGGTTTGGCGCCCAGATCAGTGACATCAGTAATCACGAAAAAAGGAAGAGACTCCAGACAGGTAAGAAAACTTAATAATTATATCAGTAGCATTTGATGTTTAAAATTATTATAATTCTGGATTATTCTATTCTAGTTCAACACTCGATAGAGTCAGCTCTTTTGTCAAAAAAATTTCGCAGACAATTAACCTCGCTGGGTCATGCTGGGCCCCTTTGTTTCCTGAGCTTTTGTTATCTACGTTGCATAGTATTAACCTGTAGTATCCTGGGTAGTGTTTTCCTCAAAAACTACAGTTAACTTGCAAAACTACATTAATCAATCCTGCAGTATGCCTGAAAACTCCTTTAACTTGCAAAAATACTCTAACCTATGCTGTAGTATCCTGGGTAGTGTATACCTGAAATCTACGGTTAACTCGTAAAAATGCTCTAATCAGTGCAGTAGTATCCTGGCCGAGAAGTGCATACCTGAAATCTACTGTTCACTTTCCAAAATGCTCTAATCATTCCTGTAGTATCCTGGGTAGTGTATACCTGAAATCTAGCACGCGCTCGAACTTGATTTTAGCACGAGTGTTGCCTTGAACAAAGCGGAGTAAAAGAGCAGTATAAGAACATTTATTGCAGTATTTTGTGTTAGTGATCTAGGAGCCTCTGAATTTGGCGATTTTGCGATGGTGACATATCGCCAGGACTATTTCAGTCAATATCACGGTATGTCCCACCCCGGCCTTGTTCAGTCTCTTCCGTGATACAGTAACTGCATCTAATCATACTTTCTCGGGAAGAGTCGGGGGGGGGGAGTAGGGGTGGTAATCTAAAACTAAAAATACGTTTATTGCACAACCTTGTGAGCTCGGGGAGGTGGTCCGTAAAATGTTAGGGATGGGAGGGAGGGATAAAGATAGAGTAGAAAACTGGACCATTATTTTTGGAATTCAATTTATGATATTATGGGCGCCTGGCGAATACAAAGAAAGACAGCAAATAGTGTGATATAACCCCTCAAGAGCCAATTTTTGACAATAANGATACAGTAACTGCATCTAATCATACTTTCTCGGGAAGAGTCGGGGGGGGGGGAGTAGGGGTGGTAATCTAAAACTAAAAATACGTTTATTGCACAACCTTGTGAGCTCGGGGAGGTGGTCCGTAAAATGTTAGGGATGGGAGGGAGGGATAAAGATAGAGTAGAAAACTGGACCATTATTTTTGGAATTCAATTTATGATATTATGGGCGCCTGGCGAATACAAAGAAAGACAGCAAATAGTGTGATATAACCCCTCAAGAGCCAATTTTTGACAATAAATCTTTCTATTAGTTGGTCATGGTCAGAGTCAGGAGAAAGAGCCCAAATATCAGATTTTTCCTTTTACGTCAGAGATGTTTTTTAACACATTGACCAAGTCACAGCAGTCAACACAGACATACCAATATTTATGTTTGGCCACTCAATGGTATGTACTGTTATAAAAACTTTATTGGAACTCTGCCCCTTTTTTCGTTTTGTTTTATTTGTTTGTTTTGTATTTTTTTTAGGTTCTCGGGTCCCCTAACCGCGTCGATCACAGGTGTTAATTACGATAAACACCCCAAGCCCATCATGCTTTGCGGTTGTTTCGTAATGTCGCGCGCTTGCCGGTTTGTTTTGATAACATAGATAGCCTGTGAATTTCAGGTTTTCTTATTTTTAACTCTTTTTAAGTCTGGCTTCAATGCAGTTAAATCACATATTACGAAAACACTGATACAGTCGAACCTCCATATGCGACCACCTCTCGTAAACAACTACCTCTCGTTAAAGATCACCATCCTTAAGCGACCGCGTTAAAGATATATCCAATTGTTTTTAACCTCCTAAAAGGCGCCCCCTTAACGATTTGTCTGAACTCTTATGTTCGCTGTATGCTACTAGGAGTATACGAAGAACTTAAGTAACAACATGTAACTGAAAAAGAAATCGGTGCAGTAAATTATCTGCTTTAAAGTAGATGTGCGCGGAAATCTACTCCAAGGAAGTGTCGTAAGCGACCACCTACTGTAAGTGACCACAAAGTCTTAGCCTTTACGGTGGTTTAGCTGCACCTTAAAAATTTCATGTTATGATATTATTACAAGTAATATTATGCATTATTCTTTTTAGGGTGGTACAATAGCTGTCAAAGACCTTATTTCTTTGCGGGTGCTATTTTTAGTGCACCAAGCTTAAAAGTGGATGCCAATCCTTGCACGGTAATTTAGTTCTACAAATAATAAACGAAAACACAATTCAAAGACTGTTTCTTTTTTCTTAGGGTGCCGTCAATGCAAAAACAGGATACAGCAGACTCAAAACAGAAAAACACTACCAGAAAACAGAAATAAACATCTCAAAGCGGAAACACGTACAAAAAAATACAAAACTGAACCACAAAACTGAAAGAGAATTTAAAAATACAAACCATGATTAAAAACCCCAAAACAGAAACAAGGAAATAATGTAAAAGAATAGTTTCTAATGATTCTTCGTCTTTTAATTATCTTAACCCGCGATCAGGCGGGGTTGTTTTTTCATAGGGAGGGCATGATCACAGGCTATAATAGCCCATTTCCGAGTTACAAAAACCCTCACTT